GACAAAGCAGCTTGGCCCCAGCCCCCACAGGCTTGCCTTCCTAGAGGTGCACTGCCTGCACAGGAAACCCAAGAAGTTTCTAGGGACCCAGAAATAAGCTTTTAACTTCATTGGAATGGACAGTCACCCAGAAACATGTGCCATCCAACTTGGCATGTGCTTTTCTGGCCTCCTCTGCCCAGAGGACGATAATCCCCTGGTTCCATTCTCTGTAGCCCCTTTGGACTTGACTGATAAAGGAGAGGGACTATCCTATGCCTACAGGTGCAATTTCAGTCTCATTGCCTCCCACCCCAGGCCTCTGTGTCTTTCCTGGACTTCCTTTTCTGTACAACTGGCTTAAGAGCTTTGAATCACATGGCCGGTGCTTTTTGTCAGCCCTTCCTGAGACTTTGAAAGGTTGGGCAATAGTGTCCTGGGTGGCCCTAACCAACAACATCCAACAACTCTGGCTCTGTTTTGGCACAGACTAGACTCTTCTGCTGGTAAGAGAGGACTGGTGTAATGGGGGCCTTTGCTGGGGATGTCAGCTTATTGTGGTGTAGGAGCCTCAGCCCAGGAGCTTTGACACGCTCCTGCCTTAGCTTGAATACCCACAAGCAGGATTTTCCACAGCAGAGATCAGGTGGCAGGAAAAGGCTAGGTGGGGAGCTGTTCTTTCTCTAAGGATGCTGGTTCAGTTAGTGTACAAAACAGTGGGAATGAATATGCACAAAGTTTATTCCTCCTTCACTTATCCACAGGTCCAACCCACACCACTGGGCTTAATGCACACCATGTCTGTGCCACTGCAGGGGACTAGACAACAATAGGGCAGGTCCCACGTGCAAGGGCTGGGGATGGAATGTTTCTTGTCTGGGATGTTAGAACCTAAGGTCCCATTCACCCATGTCCCTTAACATCCATTCTTTCCCAAGAAGGCTCAGTCACTTACCTAAGGGAGGGTCCAGCCTGAGGAGCTTCACAAGGATGCCTCTAATCCTGGCCCTTCTGGAAATCCATATGCAACAAAATGAAATTAAACCCCTATCTCTCACCATGCACAAAACTCAACTCAAAGTGGATCAAGGACCTAGGAATTAAACCAGAGACCTTGAGTCTAAAAATTAAAAAGTAGGCCCTAATCTTCATCATGTAGGATTAGGCCCCAACTTCCTTAATAAGACTCCTATAATGCAAGAATTAAGATCAACAATCAATAAATGGGATGGATTCAAACTAAAATGTTTCTTCTCAGAAAAAGAAACAATCTGTGAGTTGAATAGAAAGCCTACATCTTGGAGCAAATTTTTACCCCTCACATATCAGATAGAGCACTAATCTCTAGGGTATATAAAAAGACCTCAAAAAGGTAAACACCAAAAGTACAAATAATCCTGACCCTTCTCTCCTGCCCACTTCCTAGCTAAGCAGCACCCTGACCTCCCACATGGTCTATAGCATCCAACAGAGGCCCCGCAGAAAGGCCCTGAGGGGCTCTATCATAAGCCTTCTGTGTCCTGTGGCAGGAGCCAAAGATCTCCCTGTCATCTAGTGTATTCAGCACTAAATAGACCGGACAATGTGCTTGGAAGCCATCTATCAAGGGAAACAAGTTGAAATCTACCCAGAAATTCTCCATAAGCACCTTCTCTGGGTCAGGCTCGACCAGACCAGGAGACTCACACAACATGGCAGCAACACAAGAATACATGCCCTAGGATGCTGTGAGAGCAAATACAGGGCCTACCCATGTGCCCACCCAAGGAGAGGGCAGCAATTGCTAAGAACAAAATGGCCTGAACTTCTCACATGGAAACCCAAGATTTCAAGTCAGTGAAAAGAGCAAGCTGCCGAAGAACACACATTATGACATATTCACATATGCACACATACATGTTTTCAGAAACAGAACAGTTGTGCTCTCACTGAAGCACCTCTAAGAAGGGCACAGTGCTTGAGGTGGGCAAACAAAGGGGTGTAGCTCCTCTATGTATCTGTCTGTAGTGACAACATGGTCCTATATGACTCAACACAATTTTCAAAAATTGTCACTAAAAATATAATAGGAAGGTTTCCCACCTTCTGTTGGGATAGATGAGGGGGCTGCCTAAATAGTTGGGTGAATGGCACTGAGGCTGGGAAGCATGAATGGTCCAGGTCAGTGGGCCTGGAAGAATGGCAGGCCAGGGCATGTGGTAACCCTGCCCCTCAACCTCTACCTACCTCCTTTTAAGGAGGAAATCTCCTTAAAAGAGCTGGTCCCCACTACCTCACTTTTGCCTTCCCCAGAACAAAGCAGTAAACCCCATTGCACACTGGAGGGAAGGTGGGCCAGCTAGCTCACCCTGACCTACAGCTGGCCTTGAGCTTTTAGAAGTGGACTTGGGAAATCTTAGTGGGTCCAAAGACAATTACTGAGCCTTGAAGGATGTCCTCAGACACAGGAAATAAAGGACCACTGTGAGATGGGATTCCAGAGCTCTATCTGTCAAGAGACATGGTTTTGTCCCAGTAGTGTCTGAGGGCTGTCCTATATATTCCTCCATCAACATGTTAGTAAACAGTTTCCTCACACCTAGTAAAAGACATTGTTCAGAATTGTGTGCTGACTGCTCAAGGTCTGCCCAGCACTTCCTGCCATGCTGGGCACCAGGCTAAAAAAGCAGATGGGGCTGGGAGGGATGCTGAGGGTAGTAAAAACAGCAGGTTGCTGGAAGAACAAGCAGCTGACCCAGAAGAGGGAAAAACCACTCAAAACACCAGTCCAGCTTTCTACAGAGGCTTCTGGCTGACACAACCTCTAAATGTGTTTCTGTAGGACTCATTTTCTAGAAGTTCTCAGAAACTATGAGGGAACTTGCCAGGAGTAAGCCTAGTGGGAATGGGGCCTGGAGCACAGGGCCCCAGCTCAGATGTGCTCCATTTGACCCAGTACCTGAGGTACCAGTTTCCTTAACTTCAGCATTAGAAAGGCTGAGTGCCTCACCCATGAGGCAGGCATGAAGGCTGGGCCTCTCCTTCCAATATTTCTGCACTGTCTTTAAGGGCAAAGCACCAATAGTAGAGGAGGAAAGGAAACCATTTTCTCGAGTACCTACCATGTGCCAGATTCTGGATTAGGAATACCACCTCATCATTTAACTTGGTTCCTACAGTTACTCTTCAAGGAGAGGCAAGGTAATGGAAACCCACTTTAAAAGGTAAGTAAACCCAAGAGCTCATGGTAATTAAAAAATTTGCTTGGTCTATCAACTGCAGAAAAATGTTACCAAATGGGCACACTTCATTATATCAAATAAAAAAGAACCAATAATCCAACAGACAAATGAACATGAGTAGAACTAAACAGAAGTTAAAACTTAACATGATATCATCATCGTCAATCTCACTCATAATACATGAAACACGATAGATAGCATTTCCATCTACTTAGGAGCAAATATTTCCAAGTCGGTAATATAGAACTGATGAGGTCTGAAAACGTGAGTCTAAAAGGAAAGTGGGCCAGTTCTTTGGAGAGTGGTTATCTACTTTAAAGGTACCATACCCTTTGTCCTAGGAATTTGATTTCAGTATTTATCCTATAAATGGGCTCCCACAAATGTAAAATTAGGTGTATATTAAAACATTATAGAAACAAAAGACTGAAAATAATGTAAATGCCCATCAATAGGGAATAGGCAGATAAACTATAGGGCATTCATATTTTGGGAGTCCTGTGCAGTTATTAAAAAGACTGAGCAGGCTAGACATATAGCTCAGTGGAAAAGAATTTGCTTAGGCCCTGAGTTTGATCCTCAGCATCTCAATCAATGAATAGAATGAGCAAGTGCTAAACACTCTCCAAGACATGCTCTTCAATGAAAAAAACAGAGGGAGGGCACAAATATGTACTTTTACTTCTTTAAAATGCAAACTAGCTTACAAAAGGCAGATGTCCTCTGGAAGGACACACATGGGACAAAGAACAGTAAACTCCTGTGGGGTATGGCTATGGCCTGGGCATGTGGGTGAGAGCATACTTCTTTTTCATGGCAAACTCCTTTGTACCATGTTGCTTGATTACCAAAGACAGCTACTATTTGTATATAATACCAAAAGAAAGAGGTGCACAGATATAGGACTCCCAGGTCTGGAGTACCAACCAGACTCAGAAGGTCACAGTCTGAGACCTAGCCAGATGGGACCTGAGAACCAACTTCTGTCATATTCTTTGAGAACTGCCCTTCTTAGCTCCAATTCAGGCTGACTCCATTTTTCAGTTTCTCTATGAATATTGGAAAACCAGGGAAAAATACATAAGAAACAAAGGTGAGAGGGACTGTGTGACTTATCAAAGCCACTCAGCTGGGATCTGGCCATGCTAGGAAGGGTGGTGGAGGATGCATGTGGAGTTGGAGGTAGAGGAGTGAGGGGCCAGTTGTCTGTGAAAGGCAGAACAAATGATGAAGGGTTTGGCTTGGCAGGGTATCAAGGAAGACAGATGTGGGCTTTTGGGATGGGAGGCAGACAGGCCTGGGCAGCGGGCCATTCTTGCCTAAGGAGTGGGTTTCCATTCCACATGGAATGTCAAAGCTAAAAGGGTACTGAAAGCCCAGCATTGGGCAAACTTATTTTCTAAGCAGTAGAGTCACCTGTAGTCAGAATCTCTTGGTGCCCAAGACTACAAAGTGGGAGGTGGAACTGCTCCAGAGGGAGCAGGACTGTGACCTAAAGCTCTTCTCACCACTGCCCGCCTTATTCTCTGGGACTCCAGAGAACACACCAGGGTCACCCATTCCGCTCTCACTGCAGACAGCAAACCAGTGCACAGAGGGACAGTGATTTGCCAGAAGTCGCTCAGCAATCATCCCCTGCCTGAGTCTGGTGCACTCTCACCTGCGCCACCCTGCTTGTCCTCTGAAGGTACTGCAAATCTGTAGCCCTGGGAATGCCCGCCCAGAGGGTTGATTCATGCGCCTTCAATAAAAAGCAGTGGCAGCAAGAAGCCTCAGAAATCAACAAGGCAAAGTACTCACATTGAAGAAATTGGTCTTGTTCCTCTCACAGAAGAGCCCCTGTGCCGGCATGTGCTGCAGTTGTTGCCATGGGATACTGCTGCCTAGCAACACATCTCGGGCCCACTGGAGGTTCTGGGGAAACAAGAAGTAGGTTGGAAAGGAGTGTGTGGGCTGTTCAGGGCGCCCACGGGGAAGGCAGGCAGTCCGCTCCTTCCTGGCTGCACTAGCAAACTGAGATGAGCAGCAGTTCTGCAGACATCGATCCCACAGCTCCAGGCAGTTCTGGCCATGGGCTTTGACCACTGAGCTATGGAATGTATCTCCAGAACTGATTTCTTATCTAGTAGAGGTGGCTGAGAGGAGAAGTGTGGCCTCAGTTTGCTCAAAATGGGCACAGAGGGACTTCTCCCTTTAACCAACCCTGAAAACCTGCCACGTGGACCCAGTACCCATTTGCTATTGGGGGGACCTCCTACTACCCCCAAAAGCAGCTCTGACTTGTTTATCTGAAACCCCTACTCACAGCCAGAAATAAAGCTGCCTTAGACTCAAAGGGCTGGCAATAGTGCTCAGGCCCAAGATCCCTGGGCAATGGTGCCTCTGGTGAAGCTGGGGGCAGGGAGAGAGGGTGGGCATGGACCTGGCTTCCTCAAACTTTCTCTGGGGCCTTTTTACCAGCCTTGAGAGGAATCCTTTCTTACCAGCTTCCTAGCTAGCATCCTTCCCTCTATGTTCTGTACCACAGTGTGCTTAAATAGTGAGAACTAGAACCCTGGCCATACATCCCACCATAGGGCAGTGCTACCTATCCTACAGGGGAGGTACTGCAGGGAGCACAGCTGGGCCTGGACCCCCTATCCTTTCTATCATACCCACTCTCTCAGGCCAATCAGTCCTCTCCTCCCCGTTAGGCCCCTTGCTTATCTTTCCTAGCACTGGGCCTACACTTTTATCACCTCATATTCCATCTGTTCCCAACACCCTCTTCATTTCTTGGCCTATAAGCCTGTACTGGCCAGGCTGAACTTACTGTTATCTCCATCTTTAGGTTAAGAAAAGTGCAAATCCAGACTCTTGGCTTGCTGGTTGTGAGGCCCATGCTTGCTAGCCTCTCAGCTTCTGACACAGAGGGCCATGCCCAGCAGGCTGTTCCCTAACATCAGGTAGGACCTGCAGCTGTATGGAGGTGGGCCACACAAGAATGAAGGCCCCCCTTGGTATGCCTGAGGTAAGGTCCCAGGTATACATCTCCTGGATGATATATTCATGGCAGAAAAAAAAAATTGGCTCTTCCAAGGAAGTCTGAGGGAGAGAGCCACCTCCCTGTTCCCCTATTAGATGGTCCTCTAGTCCCACTTGCCTCTGCTCCCACTTGAGTCCCTATAGGTCATCCCTCAGCCTGGTGCCATCTTGCCTGACCCCCACCCAGCCTCCCACAATACTGTCCCCACAGCATCACTGCCACCTTGTGCAGTGGCACTGACAGGTTTGCTGTCAACCCCATGAGGAGAGGGCCATGGACTGACTTGTTCACTAGTGGCTCCTCAAAGGGTTAGCTATCAGTTTAGAGCCCACAGAGGGGATGCAATAGATATTTGTGGGGAGCATGAAACGAAGATGAGCAGGTTTCATGCTTTCAGAAAACGGAAAAGAAATCTGGATGCAGTGATATATGGCTGTAATCCCACAGACTTGGAAGGCTGAGGTAAGAAGATCATAAGTCAAGGTCAGCTTGGGCAGTGTAGTGAGATCTTGTCTCAAAAATAAAAAGGGATGGCGATGTAGTTCAGGGGTAAAGCATGCCTGGGTGCCATTCCCAGTAATAAATAAATAAATTAAAAACAAACAAACAAATAAAATGGGAAAGAAGAAGACATCAGGCCGAGGGAACAATCTGAGGCTCAAAGGCAGGAAAGCGCCAGCAGTAGATCAGGGAAGGAGAGGACTACATATTATGTGCCTAGAAAGAGGCTGGAACCCTTCCATAAACTAAGTTTCTGAAACAAGGAAGAAACGTGTCAAGTGAGACAACAGGGGGCCAGAGGGCATGAGTAGGGCAGCCTAGGCCCCACCCAAAGCCAGCATTGGGCTTCCCCTAGTGAGACAGTCCATGACTGCAGGGTTTACTTCAACTGTCTGCTTACTAACATGTACCACCCTACCATTAATTGTCTCAATACGTTACCCATTGGGCTAACTGCCAGAGTTCTTGGGAGCCCCTGAGGATTTCCTTTCATACAGGACATCAAGGCTTAGAGCAGGGTAGCCTATGTCCTTAACTATACCAAGAGTTCTACATGAAGTAGTGATTTAGCAATGTTTGCTAATGGCAGGAAACAGGAGAACTGGGCTACTGTCCTTGAGGTGTGAGAAATAGAAAGTTTGGTGGTCTATTTTCAGAATATAGTATTTTAGCCTTAATTGGGATGTAAGAGCCAATCATAGCCATTTTGAGATCCAACTATAGCCACTGTAACTTATAGCCCTTCCCTTAGCCCACCCCAATTTTAAAATTAGCCAATTGTATAGATTGTAACCCCAAGCTCCTCCTTTCAGAGCAAGGGACAGTGCTGCCTTGGGGATAAAAACAGGTGGACTGCCCACCCAAGTGGGCAGAAGTAAAATTCGCCTTGTTAAGCTACTTCTGAGCAGATGTTTGATTCCCTGCAATACCCTGGTATCTCTAACAGGGGGTCACCTATAGTCCTACCATGTAGGTGGTTCTGATAATGTGCTCTGCCTGTGTTTCTGCTCCCAGGAGCTCTCCCTCTGCTACAACCAATCACAGTGGTTCACTCACTGCTTAATGACCTCTTCTCTCACAAATCTATGAAAGACAGAGTGGGGCTCATAAGGGCCGGGTTCCATGACCCCTACATGGTGATACCAAGTGTGGGAACTACCTGGCATGCTTCTGGGAGGAGGACCAGCTTCTCTGTGAGACAGATGGGACTCTGCAGAGTGGCCTTTTGCCTAGCATGTGTGATGGCAGGCTCAGCTCTTTACTTGGTTATATCTCAGGAGTTGGTCTGAAGAAAGGGATGGGGTTCAGGGGTTCAGGGGTTCCAAGACAATTAGAGGAATCAGGAATGGGTAGAAGTCCTGGCTTTAGCCTGTGGAGCCACTGCTGCCCTGGTTTCCCCAGGGTAAGGGGAATTGGTTGGAGCTTACAGAGTGCAGAGCTGCATGAGCCAGGAGACTCTGGGGAACTCTGATGGAGCTGGGGACATTCACAAAGCTGAGGATACATCCTCACATGAATTCACCCAGCAAAATGCAGGACACCTCCATGCCCATCAGTAACTACATGAGGGTAAGAACAGAAGGATACATATATCCCAATCCCAGACCTGGTGGATTGATCCTTTTAATCATTGGAAAAAAAAGGTGATTAGACTTTACATGTTTGGAAAAAGCTAAATGTAAGAAATTGGAATACACTGATTGGCAAGGCTCTCTAAATTGACCTTTCACTGTCTTCACAGCAGCTCAAATATCTTTCACTATATATATATATATATATATATATATATATATATATAAGCTACATGACACCTCTGTTGCAATGGCTTGAAGTTCACTTGGAATGACGTCTCCACAATTCATCCTGCCTAACTAGGCCCCAGCAGGCCTCTGACCACACCCTCTTCCCCCTCCTTCTTGCCTATTACTTCCCACCAGACCCATTTCTATATCAAGGCAGGAATGCTGGCTGTGCCATCTACCTGGCAGCCTCTGCCCTGATGACCCATGGCTGTCAGGTCTCCATCAGGTAATTCAGGTCTTTGCTTAGATAGGTCTTCTTTGACCTCCCTGACTCAATAGCCAAACTTCCTCCTCCATCTCCTTATCCACTTTATTTTTCTTCCTAGACTCATCACTAGCTGCCAGTAGGCATGTTTTTCCTCTCTGCTGTCCTCCAGGTGCATACTGGCCTTTGGCAACTCTGCCCCAGGCAGGGAGTTCTCAGAAGGCCTGGCAGAAGAGCAAGCAGCCATGGAGATGCTGAGACCCCACCCTAATTAGAAGGGAAGAAAAGCTGTTGGCTGCTTTACCATGGAACCCTACCCTTCACTTTGTTATCACAATAATTCCATATGCATATCACCAGCATTCTCCTGGAACAGAATTTCACTGAGCCTCCAAAAGTTCCCACTATGAAGCCAGGATCTGAACCCAAAAAAAGTGCAGCCTCAGAACCCACATTCTTTCTCTCAAAATCCTTATGAAACAAACCATGCCCTTTCTGAGGCACTGTGAAAGATCTAAGGGGACAGGAGTCAACCATCAGGCCTGAGCAGGCTCTATCTGCTGGGTTCCTCTGAAGACTCAGACTTCTGGCACTCCAGTTGGCCACTGAGCCACAAGATAGCAACCAGAAAATGTCACTGTCAAGCCCACAGGCAAAATTTTATGAAGAAGTGTGTTGTCTTCAAATATACACAGTGTGAAGTGTTTGTTACCAAATAGCTATGTTTGAAAAGTGGTCATTGCTGCCAGTTAATGGTTTGGAATTAGTCAGCAACAGAAAGAGCTGTGTCACCAGATTTGTGGACAAGCTGCTACCAGCAGAGCTGACACTCAGGCCCTGTCCCCAGGACACAGGCATATCCTGAGTAACAGGATGGTTTTAACTTAGGTATTCAGTGGATCTAGATGCTAATAACCTGCCATTCAAGTTGGTGGTGTCAACTGGTGGCAAAGGTCCCTGGATAAAGCTGACAAAGAAGCCAATGGGAGCTGGCCCAGGCAAGCAATCAGGTTCCAGGGCGTGCACTTGATGGCCTGGAGACTACCAGAAACACATCTGGCTATGCCTGGGGTTCTGAGTTGGCAGTGTAGCTATAGAAAGGGAGAATCTGCCACAAAAGGGGTCTATCTCAGAACCAAGGCCAGCATTTCACTTCTAAAAACCAAGGAAACCAACTTAGGAACATAACTAACAGAAGAGTTGGAAGAAACAACTGTGACAACTGTGGGAGTTGCCCAGGGCCACAGGCATCAGTGGGGCAGATAGTTCTAGGCAGCCTCTATCCCTACTAATGGGAATGGCTGGATCTACTGGGTCCATGGACCCATAGATGGTTCACGGACCATCACAGAGTGACCAAAATGACCTGGGGACATATATGAAAAGAGCAAAATGGGAAGACACACTTAAGGTAGACACACTTAACAGAGTGGGGGTAATGGAGCAACTGGGCCCTGAGTGAGGCCATCTAGGCCAATATCTGGCTTTGAAACCCAGCCCCATATAACACTGAGCCTGGGTTCCCAGATGTAATGTAAAGGGGATATGATCCCTGCCATATAGGCCCTAAAACAAATAGTGCCTCAAAAGCACACAATCAAAAGTGCATGTGCACAAGAGCCATGAAATAGCTTTTGTTTTAGAGTGGTAGAAGTGTGGTTATCCCCCTTCTATTTTACTTTAATTTGACATAAATACCATTTTCTACTTTGAAAAAACTCATCAAATGAGGAGGACAGGATATAATCACCACAGCCTCTGCCTGGTACTGTGCTGAGCACTTAATGTATATCAGCTCCCTCAGGCTCCAAATAAAGTCCTTTAGCAGGAAGCAGAGGCTGGGTGGCTGGACATCATGGGGCCTGCATCGCAGCTCACCTCTCCTCCCAACAAATCCTGCACTCTCCCCCTCACTTCCACAGGTACTCATCCTTACAAACCATCTTGTTCTCCAAATTCCATTTTATCATCTCCTTTGGGGAAGGTGCCCTGCAACAGCACAGGGAAGAGCTTCAGCACCAGGAAGTGGTTGCGTCTTGTTCAGAGCTGACACCAGCTACATTGGGAAAGTAGGGGAACACCCAATGATGATTGCTAATGTTCCTCTCACTGAGACACAAGAGGGCTCTTGCAGTGGGCTCTGCTATTCCCAAAAGGAACAAGGTAGAAAGTTCCTAAGGCAATGATCACATTGGGGTGGGGATGATGTCTCAGTCCTTGTCCCTCTGGTCTGCAAACTGCTTCATCAGTGAAGATACAAGATGGTTGGAGTTTATTAAAACTCAGGCCATTCTTGATACAGAAGGCCTGGTGTGGAGAGGTAAGGTCCACTGTCATGTGAGGCAGTGGTCCACTGTCAGGCAGTGAGTGGGCCAGGCTCCTATGTGGCAAGAGCAGCAGCAACAGGCAGCGGGTAATGGAGAAAGCCATAACATGCTATTGTTTGCCAGCACACACTTCACAGAGGCCAAGGCCCTGAGGACAACAAGATCTTTTCCTTCCTCAGGCCTGCTGAGGCCAACTTTAAGGGAAACTGGTCAAGCCCTATGAGCGATCAGTTACTGAGGGGATAAGGCATGTACCCTTTTGGATCTTTGAGCCTAGTCTCCCAAACAGAATTCTGTAAAGTAACCAGTGCTAAGCCAGGGTCTATCTCTCTGGCCAAATGCCTTTCCTGGTTCTTTAAACATCCTACAGAGAAGGTGGAAGGCTTGGGGGGTGGGGGCAACAGTAGGAGACCTCTAGGAGAAAAGCCTGAGTTCAGAGAGCCAAATCTCCCAAGGAGACCCCCACAGGCTTCTCTGCTTGCCTGCCCATTCTAGCTGTCAACCACATATCTACTTTTGGGGGCTGCTGATCCTAGATAGACATTCTCTTTTTCAATTAGCCTGCTGCCACTGGCTACTTACATCACAGGTCTCAGCACAGATGCCTTCACAGATCTACTATACTACCCCCATGCCTGTGTCCTGTTATTTTCTCTGTAATATTGGTCAAAATGCTTTGCTTGCACATTTGAATGTTCTAAATCACTTAGAACGTAGCTACATGGGGCAGGTGCCATGACCAGGTGCACTGTCTCTCCATTACCTCCTGGGTAAGTATGGAGTGAGTGAAGGAAAAAAAGAAGTCACCTCAGTCTCTCCACAAATGCTAAATGCCAATAGAAGAGGTCTGGCTGGGAAGCCCTTGGGGGCACTTAAGCTTGAGGCACAGCTGTTGCTTTCTAAAAGGAGCCAGAGAAGGCTGTCAACACCTAGCTCCCATGAAATAGCCTGAAGACTGTTGTGGCAGCTGTGCCTGGGAGGTGAACCCCAGGGAAGGGTGACGGCAAGGAAGCCACTGCAAAAGATAGTTGGAGGGCTGGGGCCTGGGACAAGTTGGTCCTGTCTCTGCAGGGCCATTCCCTCCTCTCCCATCCCTCCCATGAGAGCCACCAGAGCCCTATCACAAAACTCCAATCTGTTAAGGTTCTACCTATCAGCCTTCAAGGATCTGTCTGCCCTGGAAAAAGATCCAAGTCCACTCACCCGGTGGGTCTTGCTGTAGGTATAGAGGAAGGCCAGTCGATAGAGACTCTTGTAGTGCTGTGGGAAGCGGCTCAGGCACAGGCGAAAAGAGGCGATGCACTGCTCTGTGAGGAACTGGCGCTGTTCTTCGGCATCAGCTGGGAGCCCCTGGGGGAAGGCCATTGGCTCCCCTGGGGGTTCACCCCTCTTCTTCCCATCCCACAAAGCAGGTGTGGACATTGGGGCCTTGACAGGAATACAACCAGAGGCCAGGGGGTCTATAGCAGGTTTCTGGACTCCATGTTCTGCAGCCCGGAAGCCTTCTGTGCTCTCTGAGGACTCCTCAGTCTTTCCTACAGTTGAGAAGCAAAAGAGTCACCCTGGTTTTAGGACCTGCTCATGCAGCAATCTATTAACAGTGGTGGAGGCAACTCAGTGAGGTGACTGGAAGAGCTGGTTCAGTGCCCATGTTGGACCCAGCAGTGGGAGGTGAAGGGCTGAGTGCTGGCTTTGCCACCACTGGTTTAGGCCTCTGTGGCCACATGGTCTCTTGTCCTGTGAAACAGGAGATCCCAGCTGGCATGCAGCAGAAGGGCCCAGAGGCTATAGAGAGCAGGAGTTATAAACTGGAGTCTGATTCCTCCCCACTGAATATTTGGCAGAATAGGCTGTCCCACCTTCAGGGATGGTGTAGGTGCAATAGGAATGTGGCCCAAAGAGGGCAGATGCTATCACCACCACCATCAAATAAAAGAGCCAGGAAAAGTCTCACCAAGTGTCATATCTGTTCCTCTGCTCAGAATCTCAGCCCACAAATCTATTCAATATCACTCTCCAGACTCCAATGTGAATTGAGTGCTTATACACAGGCCCCAACTTGATGCAAGCCTGGAATGTGACCATCTAGTCCTCCTTCATTAGGGACCTCAGAGTCAGGCAGCCGAAGAAACCCAAGTTGGGTACCAGGATGATAAGAGAGGCTGGGTGGCCTCAAGCTAATAGTCCCTGAGGTGCAGGTTCCTTAGCTACAGATTGAGGAGGCTATCTGGCTCAGGAGAAAATGATGGAAGGAAGTGGGGTGGGGACAAAGGGCAAAGGCCAAAGGGCCTTTGGCTGGTAGTTCCTTTAGCACTGGGAATTTGGCACATCTTGTACAACTTGCCTGGAAGGGGCCAGAGAGTCAGCTGTTGTGGCAGCTGTGCCTGGCTACCACTGGTCACCAGTCTGAAGGCAGTCTGCCTTCTGATTGACGCCTCTGACAGTGCTCTATATATTGTAGGTGCGGCACTTGGAGTCTCTTGTATGGGCAAAGACTAAGGTCCTAAGTTCCTTTCATACCAAGTATAAACACAATCAGGTGAACATCAGGTATGTGGCAAGCTTGACGATCACTGCACTTCTTATTGAGACTGTGCTCCCCTCAGCTACCAGCCATTTCAGCTTCCCTGAGACCAGCTACTCAGAATACCTCCTTCAGTATCCCTGCATTTGCCCTGTCATTCTTTTTCCTGGAACACTGCCTTCTTCTCTACCCTTCCTCACCCATTTACTTGTATCTCTCAGTACCCTACTTGGTGTGGCCTCTCTTAGGCTTCCCCACCTCAGGATAGAGTTTGCAGAGTGATGGCATAAAAACATCTTCCCTCCCCAGTGGCCCAGAGCCTAACTGAGACCTACTCTCTTTCACCATATGAAGCAGACTGAATGACTGAATACCAGGAAGTCCTATTTGGTCTAGATGCTATAATCTCTCATGTGGGCTCAGGACGCTACTTAGGTCCCACAGCTTAAGGCTGGCATCATCTTGCAGGGGATACTGGCATTTTACATAAAAGTGTGCCAGGTTTCCAGTATGTTTGAAATGTGGCTCAACATACACTGTAAGAGTAATGGCTCTGGGCCTAGCCCTGAGGCCCCAAGGAAATAGAAAAATTGGATGATGATGCAGAGCACCCAGGGGCTCAAAAAAAGGCACTAAGTTCTCAAACACAAAGACACAAGAATACAGTTTTTATTAAAAAAGAAAAAGAAAAAAAAAAGTAGGCAGAGGGCAAGAATTAAACCAAACAGAATGCAGAACACATATCTGAAGATACACGAGAAACAAAGAAAAGAGCAATCTCAAAGGGAGATAAAATTTGAGGAGAAATGAGGCAGTTGCCTCATCCACAGCCTCTATTTCCCACTGCTGAATAAGCCTCACAGGTCAACAGAATTCTCCATTTATTTGATGAAAGGAAGAGGGTCAGAAAAGTTAACAAGGCCACAAAATGCTTCCTAATCAGGAGGTTTAGTGCTAACCCTAGCTGCAAGAAGCTGGGAAGACTTCTTCCTCTCAATAGAAAGCAAGAGAAATGCATCCTTTGGCCACCTAGTCTTGGGTGGGATCTGTTGCTGACAAGAACAGTCAACAACATTATATAGGTGCCAAGGCCACCAGAACACAGGACCCCCACCAGAGTGGAGTAGTGGCTGTATACGGTGGGCTACCTGGGAAGGCTGGAAAGGATCTCTAGTAAAGCTTGTGGGCTGATGTGCATAAACAGCCCCCTGAATTCAGGGTCCTCATTATGGAAAAGCTTGACCTGAGGTGGCTACATGTCTTGTAGAGATACCAACAGCAGAGAAGCCTAAGCCAAAATCTGTCCTAACAGAAAGACCTCAAATTTCTTTCTCCTGACTGCTAAGATCTTCTTATCCAAATTCCACTAGTCTGAGATAAAAGCCCAGTAAGGGTGTTCCCCCACAAAAGGTGAGCAGCCTTCTCCCACATTCAGCACTCCTCACCCTGCCCTGCCCGTGATTTAGGCCTCCATTTGATCAGGAAGGGGGAATATGTGGCTATAGTATGGCAGGTTGTGATGTATACTGCATGGACCACACATGTTTAAATGTGAAATTGTGGGCAATGTTTTCCTCTATTAAAATATAAATCTTTACTGTTGCCATGTTCACATTCTGGACTGGTAAAGAAAGGGTAGAAGCAAGTTATGACCTTGAAATGGTAGGCTTGAAATGAAGTATCTTGCTTCCACAGACATGTTCTTCTCCTCTAAGCCTAGCTTTTCCTGGGAACTGCAGTGGTAAAATTGATCAACTTCTTCTTTTAGAATAGTTGATGTACCAAGGAATGCATTGAGTCTGTACCCAGCAGACAGCCAGACAGTACCTAGTGCTGAATGCACTATATTTTTTATTAAAAAAAATAAAAACTCTGATCCTTGCAAAGATGAGCTTCAGCTAGCTGCAGCAGTCATCTTTGCAAAGCCTCCTTCCTCAAGCATTCTGGTACAGACCAGTGTGGAGGATAGCTCATATCCACAGGACACAGTAGGAAGAAGTGCAGCTCAGAGCCAGGCAAGGTATGTTTGGCAGCTCTTTCCTGCTTCCCTCAGCACTGAGTGCCTGGTACAGACCTGTACCTGTTACATCCTGTTACTCAATAATGGACACAAAATATGTAAGTAAGGGCCTGTGCCCTACTACATGGGCCATGAAGGAAGCAGCAGGTTGCCCATGAGGGCATGCCTGGAAGGTGAGGGGTATGTAGGACACTTAGGGCACATGCAGCACTGACCCAAGCTCTGGCTTTTTCAGCGAGGCCAAAAGCTGCTCAAAGGCTGAGGATGCAGCTCAGTGATAGAGAACTTGCCTAGCATGTTTGAGGTTCTTGGTTTGCCTTAACTCTAGAAACAGAGGGACTCAAGCCTAGAGATCATGGTGGCCAGGACTATAGCCCACTAGGAATGCAGGGGAGAGTGTGCCAGAGGCTACCACTGGTCAAGGCCAAGCCTAGAGGAGTACTCAGCACTAGGTACTGTCTGGCTGTCTGCTGGGTACAGACTCAATGCATTCCTTGGTACATCAACTATTCTAAAAGAAGAAGTTGATCAATTTTACCACTGCAGTTCCCAGGAAAAGCTAGGCTTAGAGGAGAAGAACATGTCTGTGGAAGCAAGATACTTCATTTCAAGCCTACCATTTCAAAGTCATAACTCGCTTCTACCCTTTCTTTACCAGCCCCAAACACTGTGGCTTGAACCACTGGAATGGAAGAAGCAGGATGCTCCTTATAAATCTAGAAAGGTCTGGACAAGCTAGAGTGAATCAAAGCCAAAATTCTTGCCTCAATCCCCACTTCACCCCACCAGGACCCTCATCCCACACATGGTAGAGAGAGAGGCTCACAATGACAACAACATCCATATCAGTTAACTGCTGCATAAAAAGTTTTACTTTTGCTTGTCCAAAAGTAAAAATAATCTGATTTTTAGGATCAGTAATGCTGTATAATAGTGTAGAGATGATAAATTACTTGTTCCTTCCCATTCTAAATTTCCTACAATGTTTTCTGTCAGTTTACAGAGTGTTGATATTGCCTGGGGATAGCAAATAACTATTTAGTGAGAAGGCAGGGCAGTGGCTTCAATTCTGATGGGGAAGGTGCAGGTAAATCCATCTGGCAAGTCAGTCCCCTGATTCCATATCTCTTACCTGATGCTAATCGGGTCACTTTTTCCACCTATAGCGGGTGTGGCCTCACCCCTTCAAAGGCTAGCATGGAGTAGAGAGCTGGATAAGGCCTTACCTCCTGCTCTGTTTCCATTGCCGCCCCTGCAGGTGAGCTCCCAAATCTTAATCTTCCCATCTAGGATCAACACAGTGACTAGGCTATCATCCCCTTGCTCCCTTCCAGTTCACCTGGAGAAGCACAGGATAGTGGCTAAGCCTGACCTCAGGCAAATGAAAAAATTTTAGATTCTTTTTTTTTTTTTTTTTAATTTTTATTAGTTATTGATGGACCTTTTTTTGTTTATATGTGGTGCTGAGAATTGAACCCAATGCCTCACACATGCTAGGTAAGCACACTACCAGAGCCACAACCCTAGTCCCCCAAATTTTAGGTTCTTCACCTGTAAAATGGAAACAGTCATACTGCTTTCTTCCTAGGGTGATTAAGAGGACCAAATGAGTTAAAGCAGTGTCTGGCCCAGGACAACCAAGAATAGAGTTGTTGTTGCTATTGTTTGGTAAGCACCTGTATGCCTGGCTCTCGCCAAACTGGGATAGTTTTCAAAAATCCATGGCTGATCAGCTAAAACCTTAGAGTAGCACAAGAAATTCCCTGACCTGCCTGTGGTCTCCCAGCAAGCCCAGAGGTGGGGTTCTGCCCACTGATTTCTACAAAAGGGGTCTGGGGATCCTAAGAGTGCTCGGTATATCCTGGACTTAAATCAGGGCTGTCTGCTGGGTACAGACTCAATGCATTCCTTGGTACATCAACTATTCTAAAAGAAGAAGTTGATCAATTTTACCACTGCAGTTCCCAGGAAAAGCTAGGCTTAGAGGAGAAGAACATGTCTGTGGAAGAACATGTCTGTCTAGAAAAGGAGATTTTTTTTCCTAGAGCCTTGATGTGATTTAGACTAAAAAGAAAACACATTTTTGACATTTAGAATCTAAGGACTTTTTTAAAAATAACCATTTACCAAGGAGGAAAAAAATAGGGCATACTGACATTGTGGACATGGCTTTCCCAGGCTAGGCTGTGGGGGTCATAGTAACAACAACAAATGTCACTGAGCACACATGGTGCACCAGGCTCTGTGCCAGCACCTTCAGGAGCTGCCTTGTTTAATGAGAACCCTGGAAGTGGGCACTGAGATCACTACCATCTTACAGGGAGAACAATGGAGGCCCAGAAAAGTGAGTAATTTGACCAATCAAGGTCCTAGGGCAGTAGCTAGAGGCATAAAGACAGAAGCCAGGCCGGACCCATGGTCTTCAGCACTGCTGAGACTGCCACAGGACACCAAAACAGTTCTAATTTACTGACTTAGGTCTTCATACCTCTTTCATCTGTGGCCCCCTGAAGGTCTTTACCAGTTGGTCCTGTTTGGGCACTGAGCATGGGCAACCTCTTCTCTGCATAGGGTTTCCGGGAGCCTTCCAGTGAGCTGGTGGGCTCGTTAAAGAAGTCCTGCGTTGAGCTGGAGTCTGAGAGCGCCACGGCTGTGCTGTCCTGGCTTCGGTCTGGTGGGGAGAAGGAGGGAGAGAGGGCGGGAGCATGAGTCCACACCACTTCTAACATGGAGAGGCCTCCCCATGGTGAAATCTCCCTGCCGCTCTGGAAACTACCCTGCAAAGGAGATGGCCTGAGCACAGCCACTCTGACCCTGCTGAATCCAAAACATCCCAGAGGCCCCTGAGCCACTCGCCAAAGGCACCAATCTCCATAGTCAACCTTCCTGAAGTTTCCCCAAACAGTGGTAGTTTAGTAAATGTTGTCAACAAGTGGCTCTGAGAAGTAAAAGACTCTGATTTGTAGCATTTACTCATTTGTTTGGTATAAATATTCCCACCATGACCAACTGTAAGCTATCAGTGTGCTATTGGTGAACACGGAGGTGGGAAGAGATGCATAGTAGGCATCATTATATAGTATTTCTATCATATACAGATAATAGAAATAACATGTGGGAAAGAATTAGGCAAATGTTTTTAACCTACTGTTAAAGGCCAGGTAGGGTCTAGAACCAGAGTCTAGATCTCTCAGAGTCACAGACACAAAGGGAGCTTGTACTCATTTCCTGGCTATTCTCCTAGGGTTTCTCTAGGGACTGGTGTGGGAGGAAGACTAGCAGAATGTATATGGGTACGAGTACCCCCTTCTGGGAGTGCAGACTTGGAGGGAGGAGCAGGAGCTGCTGTGGGAAAGATCTGAGTCTGATTTGGACTCTTTTTCTCTAAAGGTCAAAAGCCTCTGGCTGGGGCTGGGGATGTGGCTCAAGTGGTAGCGCGCTCGCCTGGCATGCATGCGACCCGGGTTCGATCCTCAGCACCACATACAAACAAAGATGTTGCGCCCGCCGAAAACTAAAAAATAAATATTAAAAAAAAAAAAAAAGCCTCTGGCCTTGGAGGAATGGCAGCAAACTTTGTTACTTCATGGTATAGGGGAAAGGCAAAGAACACCCTCTGCCCTGAAGAAGGGCAGGAAACCTACTAATAGGGGAGGGGCAAATCACTGAGAAAGCCCCACACTCAAGATGGAGGGACAGAGAGGCTGCTTAAGTCTTGAGGCTGGACCAAGACAACAGAGAGCTATCCTTGCCCCTATCCCACAGTAGCAAGCACTGAGTAGCAAGAGAGCAGCCTACTGCAGAGAGCGGGCAAGAGCAGGCAAGAGCAGGCAGGGAGATTCTCCATGAGGTGCACATGAAGTCCTAATGTGGAAGGTGGAACTGGAACATCTAAAAAAAATTTGGGCAAACTAGACCCCACTTTAAGTACAAGGTAACACAAGGGGAATACAAAGCCAGTGGTGCAATTAAGATAACCAAAGCAAAACAACTTCCAAGCCAGCTCAACTTCTTATTAACCTAACTCAACTTCCCCTGATAGCCTAGAAACAGAAGAAGGACCATTTTGAGCATAAATGTTATTTATTTCAGTTTATTTATTCCTTCACCATATCTGGTATTAAATATAAAAATTAAAAGATACCTATACCAAGAAAAAATAAAGAAAAAGAATGAAAAAAAAAGTGTTGCTAGGAGATAAAACAATCAATAGAACCAAACTCAGAGATGATCCAGATGTTAGAATTACCTGATGGGGAATTTAAAATAACTCAGAGTAATATGATTCATAAATATGATTAGTACGTTAAAGGCTATAGTGGAAACCTAAACATCACCCCATGAATTGAGGGAGAATTTTAGGAGTCAGATGGAAATTATAAGCAAGAGTCAAATAAGGACGCTAGGGAAAATAACAACAACAAGAAAAAATGTTAACAGAGAAGACTGCCTTTACCAGACTTCTTAGCAGACTTGACACAACTGTGGAAGGAAAAAGCAAAACTTGAAACTAAGTCAACAGAAATAATCCACACCAAGAGAAAAAGTGGCAGAATGGGTGTTTCAGAAGAGCATATCCAAGAGTATCCAAATGATCTAACCCATTAATTGGGCTCACCATAAGAGATGAGAGAAAAACAGGACTAAAGAAACATTTGAAGACATGACTATAGTGCTTGGCTAGCATGTGCAAGGCCCTGGGTTTAATCCCCAGCCCCACCCCCACCCCTCAACACACCATCAAAAATAATGAAAGACGGGGCTTCGACTGTAGCTCAGCAGCAGAGCGCTTGCCTAGCATGTGTAAGGAACTGGGTTCGATCCTGAGCACCACATAAAAATAAACAAAATAAAGGCATTCTGTCTATCTACAACTACAATTAAAAAACATAATGAAAGACATCAAATTACCAAGAACACCAAACACCAAATTACCAAAGAACACCAAACAGGGAAAAGACCTCCTGCACACATATTAAGAAAAAAAAAAAATCATATCTGTGCTTACTCAAACTGCTGAAAGCCAAAGATAGAAACTCTCAATGACTTCCAGGACCTCATGCATGCCAGTCAAATGCTCTATTACCAAGCCACACCTCTAGCCCTAGACATTACCTTCAAAGTGCAAATAAATAAATAAAAACTCAAAATTCTACATGAAGATGTAAAACTACCACACACCCCAAATGCAGGAGAAACAAAGGCTTTTCTTTAGATGAACAAAAACAGAGGATTTCTTAATGGTAGATCTGAGTTACAAAAAATGTTCAAGGCAGTTCCTGAGATAGAAAAAAATATGAAACCAGACAGAAACTTGGATCTACACAGAGAAACAAAGTTAACCATAAATGGTTAAAGTGACAGTAAATATATAAAAGACCTTTCCTCTTATTTCTAATTTTACTAAAATACCACACCACTTTCTAAACCAAAACAGTAGCAATGTGTAGGCCAGTAGCGTAAGTAAAAGCAAAATGAATGAAAACAGTCTAAAAGATGGGAGGCTCTTACATTGCTCATGAAGTAGTACAGTATCTTTTGAAGGTAGACTATTGTTAGAGATGTATTTTGTTAACCGTAAGGCAAAAGCTATATTTAAAAAAAAAAACCCAGATATTAACAAATGAATAATAGAGATAAAATAGAACCATTAAAAAATTAAAGTGCTTTGCCTTGAACTTTTATCTGAAGGTGATGCTCAATGAACTAGGAATCAAAAATTCCTCTTGTGTTACTCACAAGTTGTGAGACCTTGGCCCTGCCTCATCTATAAACTGTAGTCACATATTTCTAAGAGGTCCATGCCATAGGCTTCTGAGGACAAAGGAAGAAAGGTAGAGTCCCAAGACCCTCCAGCTCTATGCTTAGTTACTTTAAAAACTTGATATTGATGTTTTAGCACATACATCTGCTCTGCCCTCTTGGCCCATGTCTCATCGTATATCCAAGAGCTGGGGACAGACATTGTAGGCAGCACAATATAGTTGCAGTCTTTCATAGCTGCCTTTGTAATATTCACTGCTTAGTAACTGATGTGTCATAAGTATCAGTTGGGCTGCTAGAAAAACATGAATAGGGTATGTGAGACCCAAGCTGGGGAGCAGGGATCCAACTAGATAGACCCTCTCTGACTTACACTCAACAAGGTGTTCTATGCTTACTTGTGAAGCCACCTGTGACCCTAAGACTCCATAAACACTGAATGGGAGTTAGGAGCAGGTTTGTCCTGAAAAATTTCAAACCTTTTAAGGGGATCCCTTCCCTTCTCCCTCAGGAGAGGTGGGGAAGCTGTTTTCTGTCCCTGTAAAAAGGAAGACCTGACAATAGAGACCCTTTATTCCAGAAGCCATATATGATAATTGCAGGAGCTCCAAACTTGGGGTCTCAGTCCCACACTCAGACATAGGCTGGCTAAACCTGGCTGAATGATTTTGCTGCTTTAAAGTCCCCACTTCATGATTTTTTTTTTTTTTTTTTTGGTACTGGGGATTAAACTCAGGGGCACTCAACTACTGAGCCACATCCCAAGCCCTTTTTTGTATTTTATTTAGAGACAAGGTTTTACTGAGTTGCTGAGTGCCTCACAGTTGCTGAGGCTGGCTTGAACTTGCAATCAGCCTCAGCTACTTCAGCCTCCCAAGCCACTGGGATTATAGGCATGTGCCACCTCGCCCGGCCTACGTCATGCTTTTTAACATGATTTTCATGGTCTCCCAACCTCTGCCAGACACATATGGGATTACAACAGGGGTATGGCCTGGTGCCTAGCACACTTGAATGATGGCTCAATGACCCATCCTGTCCTGTAGCATTCTCTCTGGTCCTGACAGTGAGAATACTGATGACTTGGACAACTCTTGAGAGGCCTCAGTTTCCAAAAGATGGGAGAGGTCGTGCTCTTGCAGTTGATGTCTCTCTGAACATCAGACCAGGGCCAGCTCTCCTCAGATAGCACAAGACAAGCTGAAGTCACTGCAGGCTGATCAGTACACCCTGCAGCAAGCTCCAGGAAGCAAGCATGGCCAAGATGATCTCACCTACTGGCATGCTGCCCCACGAGCTCGCTGGTCACAAGCTGTTGGGCTCTGGGCCTAAAGGAATAGTCAGTTTGGTGGAACCCCAGCTGTCATCATTTTGAAAACCAAGAACTGGCTTAAGCAAACAGGTATTTAGTCCCAATGTTCTAATAATAATGCACTCTGGGGACGTTTACTCCCTGAGGAGCAATAGCCAATTGAGTGAGTATTCTCCTGAACCTCCTTTTTTTTGCGGGGGAGGGGCTGCTGGGGATTGAACTTAGGGGTGCTTTGCCACGAGTTATATACCTAATCCTTTCTATTTTTGAGACAGGGTCTTGTTAAGATGCTGAGGTTAGCCTTGAACCTATGATCCTCCTGCCTCAGTCTCCTAAGTCACTGATATTATAGGTGTGCACCACCATACCTGGCCTTAGCGTCTTTTAAAATAACAACCATAGCTGGGCATGGTGGCGCATGCCTGTAATTACAGCAGCTCAGGAGGCTGAAGCAGGAGGCTCACAAATTCGAGGGCGGCCTCGGCAATTTAGCAAGATCCTAAGTAATTTAGTGAGACCCTGTCTCAAAATGGGATGTGGTTGGGATGTGGCTCAATGGTAAAGTACCCTGGTAGAATAAAATAAAATAATAACAC